ACCCTACACGTACCCCGTAGATACGCCACTGTACTCAATGGTGTGTATATAGAAATAATGAGATGTTGTGGAGTGGGGGTGGATGATGGGGTTGGGAAGCTGATGGCGACACAAATAGTTTCTCGGTTGTAAAGTGAGGGGCGCCAGCCGGCATGCAAAGCAAGGTCATATTAGGTTATTTTTAATTAATTGAGCGTAATTTTTTTTCTGCTCAGCAAATTTCCAGTTGTGGGGAAATTGAAAGGCTCAAGCCACTTTTGGAGTGTCTCCACTCTCTCTCTCTTTCGTAGGCCACTGCTTATACTATGCTCTGACACAACTCAATGACATTCGATGATATTACAATAGGTTGATCATCATCACAGCATCTTCCGGTACTCCGTATAACCTCTATTTATAGAGTATACTGTACTCTCACAAGATCATGATATCATGAATGCTGGCCAAATTGAATTGATGGGAATCCGTTCAATGCAATCCGTAACACATCTACAGTAAATATATATCGCCATATTGGTCAATTCTAGGTGTAAATGACGTCACGAAATCGATACGGGCTATCCCTGATCACGTCGATATGTTAATACCACCAACAACATCGTGATCCGAAACTAGGCGTAATTACTGTACTATTATTATAAACCGATTGTACAGAATGTTTAACCATTGGCCAAGAGTATGTGAGATCTATTCTTATTGTTCTTGCTGGAAAACAAACATCATTTTGTGTTAGGCATAAATTCAAGGATACATAGTTTTTGAAGTATTGTACAGGTAAAAACGTAAAGGTCATTTCAAGAAGGTTAGTTATTTAAAAAAACTAACAGGGCCTACCAAAAATTGATTGAATTTTCTTTCGCTATGTCAATCAGTATGTTACAGTACCGAGTATCATTAAGTTCATCGCGGGCCCTACTCAGACCTGGTGGCAGGTGCAGGGCGGCTGGCTGCCCGGGCCTATTGTATGGGGATCTAGGGGAGTGCCTCGGTGAACGAAGCTTCCGGAAGCTATGGCCTTTTAACGAATTAGAAGACTAATTAATTTTTAATCGATTATAGAGTGCTTTCACCAGGTCATGAATAATAAAGTATAGAAACATGGCTTTCATTTTATTCAAACGTAGATCTACACTGGATGAATACGTTTAATAATTCTTATTTATTTATTTATTTTTTTCCCTAGCAGCCCAGGCCCTTGTTCCGTCTGCCCTGGCCTCTTGGCGCGTCTGGTCTGATTATGTACGGTACGAGGCACGTTTTTGACGATTTAGATGGGGAGGGGGTTACATATTCTGCCTCTTAAAAAAGGCCCCACTCAGCTGAGTTGCAGCTGACGAATATACGTTTACATCCTGCAAAGGACCTAATGGTCCATACCCGACGGGAAACAGGGGCTGGACCAGTAGCCTACACCGGGGTAAACCCCTACTCGTCTCGAAGGGTGCAAGTGCATATGAGCCAATTGTGTAACTCAGGACCTATGGTCTATTATAGTCCTTATCCAAAAAAGAATTACATCGCCAGCACTATAGGCCGGTCAAACCAGCGCTGATATTAGTTAGGTTACAGCGCCCTGCCTTAACCGATCAGCCATTCGACTCGCTGGAACAAACTATGTATACCTGGTTCCCTTAAGCACAGGGCCCCGGGGATTAGCCAGTAAGAACTCGTAGCTGTTTTATGACTGACAGTAGCCCTTGTTTCAAAGTATGAATACTGTATGCGAAGCACAAAATCGCCGTGTCAGAAATGTGTTGCGAAGATACTAATTCAAGTGACTCATGATTTCCTGAATCGTAGATAAAATTATGCGGGCTGTACTTACATGAGCCATTATTTGTTATACATCATTTTTTCCTTGTTTATTGAAATATATATTTCTCTCGTTACAGACCGTCAGGAACCAGACGTTGACGGAAAAGATGGCGGCAAACTGCTTCATGAATTACATTATGGATTATAACGGTCTACAAGGGAGAGTTGAAATTGAAGAATGCGAAGTGTGCGGCGGCATAGCCAAGTTCCATTGTGTACAGTGCAATAATTTCATATGCACCAATTGTAAAATAACTCACGAAAGACGCCCAGTCAGTGATGTCCACCAATTTTGTACCATTGCAGAATTGAATACGCATAATTGGAGGCAGCGACATTTAAGGGAGATTTTGTGTGCTCGACATAGATATTCAATCTCGTCCTATTGTAAGTCATGTGAAACTCCCATGTGTGAGAAATGCGACGAAACTCACACAGGTCCGCAGCACAATATCATACCTGCCGATGTCGCATTTGAACAATATAAACAAGCAGCAGAAAAGTTAGTGGCAGATGGATTTCAATTAGAAAATTTGACTAGAGAGAAACTGGCAACAGTTGAAGAGACAAAAAAGGTATGGGTGACGTCGACTGTGAGGTGCGAAAAAGAGATTATAGCATATGTAGATCGTTTGCAAAAACAGCTGGACTGTGCCAAAGATAATCTATTAGAAAACCTGAATGAAATAAGTACGCAGAAAGAAGCACAACTCGACGAAGAAATACAGAACTTAAAATTGATCAAAGAGAACGTGAAAAGCGCACGCTTGAGAAATGAGGGTCTTATGGGGACACAGAACCCAAATGGCGCTCTCTATATGATCAACGAGGGCCTGCAACAACTACATGACGCTCTTCAGAACATACCTGCTCTTCATCCTGTAAACACGGGAAATCTTGAGTTTGATCCGGATCTCGAGTGCCTTGAGGGGTTCAAGTTAGGTAGTGTATATGAAGGGGGTTTATTGGATCCGTCGCAATGTGTAACAGATATCACATCGAAGATCGAAAAAACAGTCGGCGAGTTCATACAGTTCAGACTGACGACTAATGATTCGAATGGCAGAAAGAAGGACGTTATAACGGATTCAATATCCGTTGTGCTTCAGAACGAGTCGGGCGATCAGGTGAATGGAGACGTTTCCGAGATCTGCAAAGGCTTATTTCAGATAACCTGCCTGTGTAAGTGGGAAACTGAGTGCAACCTTAGTGTCGGTGTCTTCGGCGAGCCAATTTCAGGATCACCATTTCCAGTAGTTGGTCTCCGTCACCAGCTACTCCTGAAGAGCATTGACACTGGAAACTATTTCACGAAAAAGAAAGGCAATATAGATGATGTGTGCTTCACAACCGATGACATTCTGTTAGCTTGCAACTCGACAAATCAGATTCTCAAATTTGATTTAAAGGGCAATTACATAAACACCTTCTGTCTAGAGGAGGGGAAAGAAATCCAAGGTATCTTCTGCATCGATTTTGATCGGATAGCAGTGACAGAAAAAACGGGATGCGAAGTTCTGATTTGCAAACAAGATGGCGTTGTTGTTCATCAGTTCGGAAAAGGAGTATTGCTGAACCCGAAAGGCATTGCCGTGTCAGTTAAAAGAAATGAGGTCTTTGTCGTCGACTGCCAAGCACACTGCGTCTTCCGATTCAGTATTGAAGGTCGTCTATTGTGCAAGATTGGTGGGATTGGCAATGCCGAAGGAAAATTTAACACTCCCCACTCAATCGCAGTAATAAACGAAGGCGATGACTTTATCGTCTCTGATAGCCTTAACCATCGTCTGCAAGTTTTCAAGCATGATGGGAAATTTCTCAGGACCATTGGATATGGTCGTGGGCAAGGAAATGGTAAACTTGAGTTTCCCAGAGCGGTAGCCCTGCATGGCAAGGGTCACATAATTGTTGGAAGCAGTGACAGATTGCAGTTATTTGATCAACAGACAGGCCAGTATGTCACACGTCTTGATCATCGAAACGATGATGTAAAGTACCCGTACGGAATAGCAGTCGACAAGGGGAAAATCGCCGTGGCCAACTGGAGAGGCTTAGGATCGAAATCGGCAAACATTAAGACATTTAAAGATGCATATGAGCAATTGATCAATAACGAGTAAAGCTATTATCCCAGTATTTTTTAATAAGTATTAATACAAAGTAAAAAGTAGGCATACGCTAAATGAGTTTTTTAAGCTCTTGCCAGTTAAAAATGTCTTCGGTTATAAAATGTTGTGTGCTGCATCACCCCGCTGCGCTTTTAAACTTTCATATTTAAAAATCTGTGTTTTAATTTATGACGAGTTGGTGAAACGTTGTTCGGACATGTTCGGACTTCGGACTGACGGCCTGATTTTATAAAGTGCATGTTGCATATCACTGTAGACTAGAGGTGAAGAAACCAATTAGTTTGTGTCATAATGCTATATGAGTGTGTCTGACGTAATTTCTAACTTCTATTATTGTGTCCGTATTTATTAACCTTTGTAACATTGTTTTTTAAGTATAGTATTTCAGATGATCTCTCTTTGCAGATGATGTAGTTAAGTCCTTGATAGAAAACATGTAACATGCCAATCAGTATATGCGTCCGAAACCATTACCAAATGATTACTTTATTTCGTACATTAATAATACTTTTGCAAATAAATTAAAAGAAAAATTAAGCAATCTGATGGCTAATTAAACTGTAGGCCCATCTTTGCAAGCATGGGTGTTACGTAGGTCAGAGTTTACACCTTCAAGAAAACAATGACGAATCATATACAAAGAACTATTGTAAACAACCGAAGCATGACGTTAACAACAAGCTAATATTATTTAAGTTAGTCTACATATAGATTGATCACGTTAGTCGATCGATAGCATTGTGAAAAATGTAATAAAAATAAATAGTTTTTCTGGTCTATTTAAACAGTTTCTCAAGGTGCATTCTGAACTGCAGGTGTAGTAGAAGAATATCTAGCAAAAATTTCGTAGGTAAGGCCTGATTTTGTAGTAGAATAGCTTTTTTTTCTATACGTACCTTGTTGTCTACGTGTGAGAGCTATTTCAACTCAATGGAGCATACAATTCAATGCACTGAAAACAGTAAACTGTTGACTGAACGAAAGACAGAACGCTGAACTTGAATTGTTAACATAGTCCTTGATCTGTATAGTCATGTCACAGTAAACTAGAAGAGACTTAATTATACGTACCGTCATAGTGATATGATTGCCGTAGGTGTTTTTTTTATTTACAATTAAGTCTCGTTCAGCGAAATTTAGTTATAGTCAGCTATCTCAAACCTATAAAGATTCTTAAGTATCAGAAATACAACGAACTGCTGGAAAAACATATACATGACGCCTACAACGCGATATTCTTGGTCATACCAAGGAGGTATAATATATGTTTGTATAATATAATGTATGTATGTATTACTTACATACATATACATTTTGATATATATATATATATAAGATCAGTTGCCTGACGATCGCAATAGCGTGAAACTCCGAGTAGCAACATTCTGTTCCAGCGACCTCCAGTTCTATATATATATATATATATATATATATATATATATATATTAATTTACTTACACGTATCATATCATCATCACCATCTGTGCACTATATTGGCTGTCTCTTATACACATCTAGATGTGTATAAGAGACAGAAATATATATATATGTAAGTAACGTAAATTTTTTTTTTGCGTTTCGAACGTAATTTTGCTTTTCTCGTTTGATAGTTTATATGTGCTATGCATCTTTTTCAGCTCGAGAAATATATGTTTATTTTTAAGTGCTCATTAACAAAAGTAACAATTTTTTATTTGATCAACTCTTATGCGTACATTTTTTTTAAAACAATTGTCAATATATTGAAAAAGGTCCAAATAAAACAAAATATTTGTCATACACAAACTATCTAAGAGTTTGTTCTTTGTGTAACTTTTTAACTATTCATCATGAATTATAAGTGAAATTATTGATATATTGGGTTGGTGAGGTGACGGGGATATTGGCCTAGTGGGGTACAACGATATGGCGGTGGTGGTAAATTAATTGTGACCCTATGCAAACATTCGGGATGCTTTAACTCCTACCGTTACTTAAATCATGCTTAAATATAGCATGGAGGAATTCCTTCATGAATATAGGCAGTGTGTTGGCATCTTGATTGCTTATTTATAAATTTACACATCGGCTCGTAACGCCAACAAGGATATCGGCTACGAAATTTCGATTGATACACTTGGTTAATTTCTTTAAGCATGTAATTCTAAAATACAAGTTTTGATTGCTGTCCTCTAAATTTTATTAATTACACTTCATCATTTTGTTCATTTCCACATCAAACAGCACGTATACTCGTCGGTTACAAGATGAAACAATATACACTAGTAGGCTATAATGTTTTAATAATGACAATCACAATGAAATGGATTCGCCACACGTTCCCAGCATGGCACGTATGCTCTCAGCTAACAAACACGAGTAATAAGTCTAATGTCGAGAAGGGTACTCGTTGACTTGATGTATACAACGTACATAGGCCTACACCAAAATCTCATTCATTCTGTTTTTATTATTAAAACTCATAGGAGTAAAACATAACTGAGTTACCAGCAGATTCACAAAATGTACAAAAATACAAAATTAATAAAAGATAAAATATGAATGCAACTAGCGAGAAAACCTAAACACAGAAAAAAAGGACTGACACAGGGGGAAAAAACATAAAAGCATCAAGACAAAAAGAAAATGTAAAAACGTACATCCGATCCTGAATTATGTTATCAGTAAATATTAATTATGACGATGAAAGATAATAATAAAATAATAATAATGTAGATGTTGATGTTAATAATAACGACGACAACAGCACCAATAACAGGCCTAATAATAAGAAAAAATAGCCCAATACACTTTGTCATTCTTTTTTTTTTCTTCTCACCATGATGACCAATATCCTCAACAGCTAACAATATCGGTGATAGCATCAATATTGGTTATAGAAACTGCCATGCCAATACATTATCCGAGTACTGTAGTTAATAGTAATTAAGTTGAAGCCTTTGGGATCGTTGCATGTTCGGGACGCCGAACCTAAACCTATCTAAACCGGTATTAAGGAATTTTCGCAAGTTTACGAAAACGATAACGAATACGGTTACGTCATCTCATTTTTAGACAATCCTTCCCCTAGAGTAGCATACTGTATCTGTGACAATATAGGCGAAATCTTATTGCAAGAACCAAGGATCAAAGCAAATTGTCAATAATGTTTTAGGCAATGACGATAATGATAATGACGTAGTAACTATCGTTTCAGTAAGGTTGTGAAATCTCCCTATGGCCTATTTACCAAAATTAACGACTAGGCCTATATTTATGAGCAAACTACGGATGTATCTAGGCTACTGGTACACAATTGAAACATTATCGGCCTACATTATTTTGATTATTAAAATGAATAACGTTCTACCGGTGCTCTATAGGTGACTGAACTAGTTTTGCGGTTGTATTAGTCTACCAAAACAATAACAGGAAAAATGATGAAGTGCTCTGAAAAATAAATTACACTGAATTTGTCAATACTATCATGTTTTATGGAATAGGCCTATGTAAATCCCTATCATTATGAGTGTGATACACGACATAATTATGCCCATATTAAGAAAATAACAGACACTTGTCAATGTCATTAAACGTTTGTTATTGCAGACAAAGATCGTATCAAAGTTTCCTGTTAGTTATTGAACTATACATCCAGAGACTTCATAGAGGCCAATATGGATACAGTAGGCCTATTTTTAAAAAAAAATATTAATCTTCTACTCCAATTTACAGCCTATCGGTACATCGTGGAAAACGCGTGATGCCACGGGTACGCCTGAAGCGGCTGATTTTAGTGGTTGCCACGATACTGTTCATCTACGCGATTGGAGTTATTACAAGTGTTTTCTATGTTCACGACGACCGTGAAAGTAAGGCAGTACTACATTTGCATTTAACGAATAGTTTTAAATTTTATTTCTACATGTTTGAATTATAAAAGATAAATTTGACACATGTTAATTCTATCGAATTATCTATAATACATGAACTACTATACCGAATCATTTTCAGTTTCATAAGCATAATAATTATGTAGTGTTATGACTTTCATTGAAGCGGAAGAAAAGCCACTCCTGCAATTCAAGCGCGATCAGCCACTTCCGAAGAAGCAGGAAAATAAAGTTGACCACAAGTTCCTGGAAAACCGAGCAGAAGCAGAACACATTGACAAGCATGATGAGAGAGAAACAAACCTACATAATGCTAATGAGGTAAAGAGTTGTTATTTCCTCTATTGAATTTCCATACGAAAATGTTTAAATCTTTTTTGAAATTTAAAACAAAAAGTTAATTTCAGATAACGATTCCACTCTGGCCAAAACCACCGGAATAATTTATCACTGCGCCTGTTATTTAAATTCTGTCGGCGTTATTACGTGCCAAAAATACAGGTGTGTGACATCATCCCATATATGGGCAAACCGCACATACCGTAAATGCTCGAATAAGCGCCGTTCTTGAATAAGCGCCGCTCTCAAATAAGCGCCGCACTAAATTTGATTTTTTTTTTTTTTTTTTTTCGTTAAGTGCCGCTCTCGAATATTCTTGTGTGTAATGAAACAGTTTTAAATACAATGTATACGGTGTTAACATGAATAGGCTTTATCACACAATGAAGACAAGCATTCTTTTTTTAATAAACGTTTGTTACGATGATATTTAACCTATGATGCCTACTGAACTACGGGAATACGTGATAATAGGTAACAAGGGAACGAGCATGGAAAGCGCCACGCCAATATTTTTTTTTATAAGCGCCGCTCTTGAATAAACGCCGCATCGAAGCCTCAAAAATGTGTATAAGCGCCGCGGCGCTTATTCGAGCATTAACGGTATATGTCACACATAAAACAAGATGCAGTAGTGAGGAAATAGAATACATTGTTATACTGACATTGTTCGCCACTGAGTGATAGGCATGTTGTAAACTAATACTAATACAAGATATTATGAACAGTGGTGGCGCCAGCGGGGAGGCGAGGAGGCAGGGGATCACCCACGGCGAGGTCGTAGGACCAAACGTCATAATTTGCCTATCTAAATAACATAACTTTGATTGCCAATCCCTATGTCATCTAAAAGCACAATTTGGGGCAGTCATACTAAGTTATAAAAACCCTCCCTGGACCCTACCAGGGATTTTTATTCCGGGACCCTGACCAAGGCTTCAGTCTGCCCTTGGTTCGGACTCTCTCATGTCGTACCCCCTGTCGCCAAATTTCTGTGCCACCGCTGGCGTAAAAGCACTAGAAACTCTAAAAGGCGTGAACATCATTGATATAACCATCACACATTTTATTACTGTATGTCTGTATGGAATAGCCCTATCATTCCTTCTTGTAATTCATTAATGCAGTGCTATCTGCTGTTTAGGTTTCATAGGGTTCAGTGTCGAATCCAGGAAATAGAGGGGGCCCTCCGAGTGTCTTTCACAGAGTAAGGGTCCACCCACCTCACTTCATGGTTCGGAAAATTTATGATTATGGGATGGCACCTCTAGATGGCCGGAGGCACTTTCAAACTTAAATCTGATTATACTTTTATTTTCTCCATTTCTTTTTATTTGAAAAATGTTTCGCTTTTCAATGGTATACTGATTAATGTTGCTCTAAATCCGTTTTTAGCTCATTTTATCCATACAAACTTTATCGAACCGGTAAATATGCCTGCCGGGCAATATTGCATTTTTGAGTGGAAGTATCGACTCCACATGCTCATTTCATGTTTGTATATAATTATTAATTACAGGTAAAGGATGAGGGGCATTGGATGGAGTCAATGGACAAGAAAATGAGATACAGAAAAAAACGACTTACGAATGTTTGCGCCAATTATTATAATCGCCATCTTATCAGGATTAACAAACTCGCAGAGTCTCCGAGACGGCTGAGGGCGCTCGTTGTGAATGACCAACGCCGATTTTTGTACAGTATCGCGTACAAAGTTGGATCCACGAACTGGGAGCGCGTGATCGTGGAATTGGCAGGCTATAAAAACGTACCGAATCAAAAACTGTACAGCCACAAAGCTTTAAAATGGATGCCAAAGTTTACAACTAAAGAGATTGTTGAACGTCTAGATAACTACACTAAGTTCCTATTCGTTCGAAATCCTTTCTCACGAATCCTTTCTGCATACAAGGATAAATTTGTGGACCACCATTTTGAATCCTTTAACAAAATCGGCAGGACGATAATTAAAAATTATCGAAAAAGTAAATTTAATGAGACGGAAATCGACGGAACAGACGTTAGTTTCCAGGAGTTTGTTGATTATTTGTTGGACGGGCATCATAAATCAAACGTGCACTGGACGCCCATACATTCGCAGAACTACCCATGCGAAATAGACTTTAATTACATAGGTAAATTGGAAGACTCCAACGATGACATTAAGTATGTATTAAAAAAATTAGGTATATGGGGACATGCTTATTATCGCCAGGGAAACATTGATCCTGCTCATGAAAAGCAACGCTTGGCAACTTACTATTCAAGTTTGGATCAGCAATCATTTGACGAACTTTATAGACTCTATGAACCTGATTTTCTAATATTTGGATATCGTGTGTCAGATATAATACGATCAAATAAAAATTAGATTAGACGACGAACCAACATTGAAATAATAAAAGGATCGATGTGTCAGCGTGTTTTCCATAAAATCGCTACAATCCTTTGCCGACAGCTGTTAGGCACACTCTGTGAGATTTTGTGTACACGCTTTTCCGATCTGTTAAGTTCAACCCCTCGCTGTGCATTTTGCAATATGTCCTTAAGCAAGGCACTTTAGTTACGGTTGCCACTCTCCACCTAGGAGTACAACTGAGTACCTGGTAGGTTCAAATACAAAACGCATTGATTACAGCTGCAACATTATGGAATTTTCCCCAATCAGGGAGCTGAGTATGTATTCCATATGTGCTTGGGTAATAATGTTAAGCGCACAGGTCTCAAAATATTATTGTTATTAGAATCCTTCCTAAATAATATTGGTTACAGTGCAGCACATTGCGATGGAAATGCTGTAGCAACTTTATGGAAAGAGTTTTTGCAAAAAAATAAACCTACATACAATCTTTCTTGTGTGTGTGTCAAACAAGTTTACTTTTCTCAATTTTGTGGTGATAAATATCTGTCAAAGCTATGAAGATTTGTGACAGTTATCTGTGATTGGCCATATATGAGTGTGATATGACTTCACCATATCCATTATGTGACAAATGTGGTGGGGGGAGCTTTTGCTATCCCCTAGATCCGCCAATGAGCCTCAGCATTGGGAGTCCAAACACTTACTGTTCCATCCCACATTTCCCAAGTATACACACATACAAGACAAACAGAAGGACTGGAGAACAATTTGTTATAAAACTATTTATTTGTATTGCGTGTATTCATGAACGAATACTACAATTTTAGAGGTATTTATCATCTATATAATTAGAGTATACCGTAAAACCTCCAACTGAAGCCCTGCGCTTTTTTTTGTTTTTGTTTTTGCGAACTTTGGATTCGCTTCATTTCGGGGCTACTTTTGCAAAGTAAAGAGGGTGGCTTCTTTTCAAAATGAATGGTGTAAATTCTGGGAATTACTACCATAAAACAATAAATAGGGCAACTGTAATATCAGTCTGTATCATGGAGTGTATAAAAAAATGTAAACTAAATTAATGTATAAACGAAGCGTGTTATTACTGTAATTTATTTTGCAGCTTTGAAATTCATGTACAGTGTATGTACTTACTATCTCGAAAAAGATTTTCGATGGGCTTCTTTTCGAAGCTACTTTTGCAATCTAAGATTAAGCTCATTTGTCTTCTATTCGAGGTTTTACGGTAATTTATGTATTTTTCAACAATTGCAACAGGCTCAACACCAATTAAATAAAAGTTAAAGAGTGATATTTACTGATATATATTTTGAATGCTACACTACTGATTTTTAAAATTTGTCATTGTACAATAATTTATTAAATTTAATCAGGATCCTTTTGATGAAATTTTAAATGTTAAAATGTTAAAACATTTTTGTCGAAGTTGTGAATATATTTTAAGGGGTTTACTAATTGAAAAAATAACCATAAGTTCTTACAATGGGTTGTACACAATGCTTAAGCCAGCTATGAAGACATATTTCCAACTGTTATTCTTTTTCAACTAGAGACAACTCCCTAAACCTGATATATACAGTTACTGAGTTTATTCTTGAAAATGATCAAATAGATTGAAACGTTGAATCTCAAAATGTCTCTGTCTCTTTTCGGAGTTACTGTCTTTTTGTTTTATTTAAGATTAATTAGTGGATCCTCTGGAGTTTATTTTTATTCTGTAAGAAGTGGCAGATCCAGGATTTATAAATATAGAATATAGGGGCTCAGGGAGGTACATTTAGTGGTGGAGTGTCCAGACCACCATGATAGCCCCACCAAGGTTGGGGCTGTTAACATTTATGGCTATGGTGGTCAGAAAGGGCACTCTCAGACTTAGTTTTGAATGTAAATTCATTTCCTCCCCCCTCCCCCATCACTTCAATTTATTTGGGGGGGGGGGGAGAGCCTGGGTCAACTGGGAGAAACCGGGGCTGGCTGCAAGAGTCCTCCTTTAATCCGCCACTGGTTATCATAGGCTATGTTCAGACACAATGACTTAGCGTAATGTTAATCAAGTGATGTGAACTTGTGCGCGATGCAGCAAACACCAGTATTATCGCGTAATCCCTGGCGTACGGTAATCCAGCAACAGACCCAGATTAGCGTACGCCGCATCAGTGATTTTGAACTCGCCCAGGATTTGACCAATCAAAAAAAGCCTAGACAGGAAAAACAGGAAATAAAATGGGCAAATTATATTACGAATATTTCGCGCGAATACTTACGCTAGCATTCGTTAATCACCCAGTCTGGACATCTTGCTAGTTACCCCATGGATTAACGTACTCCCGGCGTTAGATACGCCTGGCATATCTCCTAGCTCTGAACTTACCCACATTAAAATAAACAATTGTTTTTAAATGTTTCTGTACAATAATGATGATACATCATTTTCCATACATCTATGTCTCTTGGAAAAAGGCATGGCACATATTCCTGTATTATCATTACTGACCCAGTTCCAAAGACTTCCTCATAGCCTTCCTGATACTCCATGTAATGTTCATGATTAGGTTTGTGAGACCTACATTTAGCACCATCAACATCCCACGACCTTGAGCAGTTCCTCTAAGAAACATTTCCACATCCGGACATATTATAATATAATTTTTATTTCCTCAAAATATATCCTTGTCATCATGGTCCATTTCGGGTTGCCACGTATTGTGAGACCATGCTCTTGGTTGACGCTTGGGCATCTTATCTGCTTCTCCATCTTTTGGAACAAATCTTTGCTTGCGGACTAAATCGTGTCGACCTTTTTCTTTCATTTTTAACTCCCATTCTTCCATCTCTTTGAGATACCTTTGTAAATCAAGCTTTGCTTCTTCTTTGTACACCTGGAAAAAAAAGTATTTATATAATATATATATGTAATACAAAATATTAATATATATTTTCCCAGATTTATATTTTGACTAGAAAAACCATGCAAAGAATATAGAATTGGTATTAGTTATTGGCAAGGAAAATACTTCTTGTTTAATTTATTAATTGAAAGCCAATGAGTTACTGTACTTCAATACAAAATATCAGCTAAACACAGAGAGTAATACTTAAGTTCTACTCACTATTTTTTCATCATCATCCATCATATTCCAGTCAAGGCTGAGTTCTGATAAAGGTGCCTTTATAATTGAAGTAAAAACATTAATATTTAAAAAAAAATGCAGAACAAACTGACAATACTGCCCTCTATTGTCTACACACTATCTTGTCATATTTACCCACTCAGTGTGATGCACAGACCTACTTCAAAAAGGAAACTACTTTTCCAATGTAGAAATATACAAAGTACCAATTCAAAAATTATCTAAGGGCCAGAATGAGTAAAACAGATTAATGTAATAATATTACTGAAATATATAAATCTTCATGTTTTTCTTAACATAAATAAACCAAGCGATTTGCAAAATAAAAGGGGAGAAGAATTTTTTCACCCTAACACGCCCGTTCATACGACTGTAATACGACAAATCTAACCCTGCTTCCTGTTATCACCAGACGACAGGATGCCGTCTGCAGATTTTCAGTGGTAGTCTAAGGGATCGTTATTAAGAAGGATCCGTTGTGCATACATTGTAGCATTGCGTTCTCCATAGAACCTTTACTTGCAGTGAGTGCCTGACTTAAGAGACAGAACCGACAAGAAATGTTTGGACAAGAAACAAAGATAGCAAAAGGAATGTAGTGGGTTAGTAATAGGTGATTTAATAATTAGACTGGATGAAATAAAAGTGATTTAGAATTTAGCAGGAGGACCAAGTTGCCCGCAAGTTCTCGGAAAACGGGGTGACATCCTCCTGCTCTCCAACAAGCAAGCAAAAATCTCCCGGAAACTAATACATCTACAGTACTGCAAATTTACAATATTTAAATGTTCTTACTAATGTATTATCAATTGTCTCAACTACACAACCAATAATATCACTTTCTCCTGGAAGTCACCTAGTAATCGGTATCACAATAAACAGCAAAATATAATTAGATATTTTAAGAAAACTCATTTAACCAGATCACTTGAAAATACCTGGGACCCCTCAATTCACCTAAGTGAAAAATATAAGTAATTCTCAAAAGTTTTGGATAGCGTGCAAACCCTTATTCATATATGAAGAAAACATACATTGCTGAATTAATTAAACACAAGATGAAACCATGTCTCATGATTTTTGAAAAGCGAAAGCAGCAATTAATAAAATCTGCTTTATAGACTACAAAAAGTACAATCAAAACACATGACCAAAAATGAAACTTTGCATGCATTAACAATAGAACAGGTGCATTATCAATATGACCATAATGGGGTTGAAACTAATGAAGTGAAATACCTTTTTCATGGCTACACCGTCTGCTCTCATCTGTGCTAGCCTGGCTCGAGCATAGAAGGCAAACGGTCCCGAGAAACGCTTTGGCTTCTTTAGTTCTTTTAGTTCCTGGAAACGTTAAAATTAGAAAACAAAGGTAGAAAAAAAATGGTGTTAATAATGATGTGACTATAGGTCATTAACTATAATCAACTAACACTTTCAACAACCACACAACCAATAATATCACTTTGTGTCTTAGTTAGTTGTCAAAACACACTCGTGCAGTCTTTGCTCTAACAGAGAGAGCAAGTCACTGCTTCTTGAGCGACATTCTTTTATTTCACGAGGTGATCAATCCAAACTTCGGAACAATCTGCAAATTTTCCTTCACTCTATTAAAATTAAATCTGCCTTCAAACCTGAACTGCCTGCATGCATCTGATTGCACTGCCATCTGAAATTTCCTAGTTTTGGTTATCTCAATTCCTTGTTTTTTCTTTTATGATTTTTTGGTAGGAGGCCAGACAAATACTCGCATTACTTGAGCTCCTGTGAGTCATGAACTAGTGAGCCCTCAATGGGGCTTCAAAGTGCAGGTAAATGGAACGGTAATGCTGGTTCCTCTATTTCTGGTTAGTTTGTAGGACATTTACTGGTTCAGTTTTCCAAATTTTTCTTTTCCTTCTGTTTCTTTAAAATTGATATAAGCACTATAGAAATCTAATTTATTATCATTATTACCCTGTAAAGCAACGCCAGTTACTCCCGCCTGTCCACAACAGAGGTTGTAGGGACCAGAGTAACCCCTACTCGTCTCAAATATTTTTAAATATTGAATGAAAAATGTATAATAAATATTATATCTTTAAATAAATATTCAACAGTATCAACATAATTGGATGAGCCTCAGCAATCAACTGACCTGTCTCCCCTTCTCCAATTTCTGCCTTTTGATTTTATTTCTTTCCATTTCTAACAATATTTTGATATGATTTTCAGTTAAATTTGCTTTATAATATTCCATTTGTTGCTTAAATTCTGCACGGATTTTGGCTGACCGTTCTTGGTATCTCTGAAATAAAAAAAATTGTAAACAAATTTAATGTGAATTGAAGTAGTTTATGTAGTTATTTCAAACTATATTTTTCCCATCAACTTATGAAAACAATAGATTGCTCTGTTAGTCTATTTATGAAGCTTAGGATATTGTGTTAATTTCATCAAATTGAAGGGTTAAATGTACCTCTTATTTTTACAAATTTGGTCATTGGTTTAACAGACATCATTTTTGACATGACCAAACAACTCTCATCCAACAAACCTTATAAGGGAATTTTATATACATCATTAAATATCCCAAACTGCCAGCCTTAATTTTAAACTTAGTTATATAATTTGCACTACATAAATTCAAATCCACAATTATTATTGTTTTTGTATTATACGTTTAAATATTTTTTCCTCCATTGCTAGAGTGGTTACTCTAATTCCAAGCATATGCTATCAGACATTATTGTTCCGTCAGATTTAACAAGTTTGACCAAACTTATCTGATGAAGTACAATTCGCCCTCCAATTTGAGAACCCCCTTTCTGGTCCTGAAAATTTAGGGTCAGCTTAGTGTTAATAGATTATTAAGAGATTATTTTTTGGTTCTTTGAAAAAGTGGTCTCAAATTAGAGGAATCTCAAAAATTGCAATTTGTAAGTCAACAAAAATCAATGACTTAAGTCACAAACAGTGTTTGTTTAGTCTGACAGACACAAATTTGGTTGTGTATACAGTACATGACATTATGTTCTTGGAAAATCTGAAGGTTGAACCCAGGATCTTGAAATTTTGATGCAAGAAACACAGCCATCAGCTGACACATTGCATTCTATTTATAGAAGCTGACATCATTCATTAATGATCACCAATTTGGAACAACCTACATAAATATATAGATTACTACATTGTTTTCACACCAACTACATACCAGATATACAAACAGTCAAGGACATGTACTATATAAAACTATATTAAGAATAGAAACAGGTCAATGCCGCTCAAGGTGTGAAACCTATTTCTAATCAGAGATTTGAGAAAAAATAAACACGGATCTTTGGCATTTGAAGGTTATTATAAGGTGCTTTGGCATCACCTTCTCGCACGTTCCGTCAATAAGTCGCATTGTTGCAGTTGTCTGTATGGGCAGTTATCCCTATGGGCAGTTGATCCTACCTGTTTGAGAAGTTATCTCTTTGGATTTAGGAAGAGGCTATTGGTCTGCAGTTTATTATCATCCTCTCTTTTCTGAAGTGTAAATCTAGTGAAAATTATTGAGCTATTCAAATTACGCATAAGCATTAAAGATTAAATATGGTTAACTAAAACGTTTTGACTGAGGAATAAAGGGTAACGAAGCTCGGAGGAAGCCATTGGAAGCTCTAAGACTTTAGTTTTAAAGAGAACAGACTTAACAATGATTTCAGCACACAATAAATGGTTTGGGGATTTTTTATTTTTGTAATATATAGTATTGTATTATTGGCTTTTTCATGCCTAAAATGAATGGGGAGGGGTAAAGGTGGAGATACTCTGCCTGGCTACAGGTCTGCTAAAAAGACACAGTAAGAAAAACAGGCTTGCTGAAACTGTAACACACAAACCAAAATTCATCTTTATTTCACTATTATTCAACCCAACCTAAATTTTTGTTCAGTTATTTACAATTACAATTTCCAAAACCCAACCTGCACCCATTCACAGGCTGCACAATCGTTTTTTGCGCTACATCAGCCACAACCAGAATCACAATATTCCCCATAACATTCAACGCCCTGAGTCCTGTAGGAATTTTTTTGATATTGTTTTTTTATATAAATGTGTTAATGCTATGTTCGATAGTAATTAGTCTCTAATTTTAATCTTAGAGTCCCCAGTCGCCGTCTCATATACAATCCTACATTTCACATTCCTTTTAGTAGAGTTAATGTTTTTAAAAAATGGTTATGTTTGTAGATTGAGTCAAAGTTATAATTCGCTTGTTAATCCTGAGTTAAATATTTTCAGTAATGACTTTCGTATGTTTCGTAATATCATTAGTATTTCGGTTTAATGTTTGATGTATTTCTTGTATTGTTCGTTGTGGTTTGTGTTCCTGTTCACCTGTAAGTGGTGAACTTTTTGTTTGTTGGTTGGAAAAAGAAACAAATAAATAAAATAAAATTTAACGAATCTAGGCTTTGGTATGGAATGATGCATCCTTATTGAGTGACTCATTTATTAGTTGTTATCTAGTGAAAATATTTCTTCAAAGGTGCCTACGGCTGAATTACTTTGTCACTATCACACAAGACCTAACATCCATATAGTACGGACACAAACCTAATGTCCTTAAGTGCTTAAAATAATGAGGGCTTGTAACAGGTTGAGCAATAATGGTAGTAGTTTAAGAAAGCGGAATGCTAGTGTAACAAGTAAATATGTCTCCTTTGGGATTTAATAACTATGACAAGGACCGGATAAACGTGACACAGTACCGGAAGTATTATCTTAAAAATAGATAGTTGCTATAAATATACTGCTTGCAGTTACCGTATTTATTTGAATAAACACCCTGCTTTGCTTCCCCCACCCTGAATAAACAGCCCCTAGAAAGCCCCATTTGAAATAATAATAATTCTGGATTTATATAGCGCCTCACGTTGACACAACCTCGAGGCGCTTGAACATTATAAACGCCTCCCTCGAATAAACACCCACGGGCGTTTAATTTTTCCTCGAATAAACGCTTCCCTAAATGACTGTGAACAAAAATAATGGAAGCAAAATAATTTTCAACACATTTTGTTAATGTTGTACTCCAGTAGAACTACATTTTTTCTAACCTAGTTGCGATCAACAAAGTCTATGATCATACAATATACATTTTGTAATCATATGTTAAGTTCCACATTTACAGTGAAATTAAGGGGCTTTTAATTGAGTACTGTATATACGTATCCATTTTACACCCAAAAAAACAAACGCCTCCCTCAAATAAATGCCCCCTCAAAAACCTTTTTCAACAGTAAACGCCCCAGGGCATATATTTGAATTAATCCTGTAAAATGTATTTATTTATTTTTGTAAGAATGCATGGTTTACTTGGAAGCTGTATTCACTATACAGAATATCATTATTACTATATAAATTCAGTTTACAGTATTCATTAAAACTATTTGGTGCACTGATAAGTAGGACAGTGTGAAACAAGCTCCGAAGAAAGTGACACAAGCAATCGTTGGTTCTATTATTATTTTTAAAGTGTGAACTATAGATTTTACGCAGTGGCCGTAACAGCTAAAAGCTCTCTCTGGTTGAAGTGAGGGGGCCTAGTCCTTAAAAGGACCCAAAAAATTTATTAACATTTTTTCCATGCATTGACCAGACCTTTTTAAGGTAAAAAACCAAAAATTCTTCCTTAAAACGTCAATTACACAGAAGCCGTTTGGAGGTGGTTTGGCGCAGTGGAAAACGTTTGGTTTCCCAACCTCGAGGTTGGGGTTTCAATCCTTTGCTGTGCATTCCATGGTGTCCTTAAGCAAGACACTTTATTACATTGCTTCAGTCTACCTAGCTGTAAATGGGTATCAGTGAATTGGTGGGAGTTACCTGCGGTGGACCAGCGTCCCACCCAGGAGGAGCATCACACTCTCATCCACTTCACACTACTTGAAACTGGGAATAAGCCCCCAGCCCTATGAGCCCCGTGACTCAGCAAGCATTTACTTTACTTTTTACGCCAACGCGAGCAGAGCCTATCCCTAGTATAGTAGGACTCTGAAGAAATTATAGCCAGGGGCATCAGATATTTTTGTTAGAACCTCCCAAAGCAGCATGACATGAAACTTCCAATGTTCTGCGTACACTTAGCAATCTGGATGATACAGTATTATTATTTTTATAAACACAAAGAAAAACAGGAAATGTACTGTACCTTTTTTTCTGATTCTGGCAACTCTTTCCACAAAACACTCAGCATTCTGGAAATTTCTTTAAATGATTTACCTAACAAAAAAAAAAGAATGAAATTTAGATTCAATCTTATCTCATTGAATGTAAACCAACACAGTTTCCATGGAAAATTAACCATGTTTTTCTATCGCCACAAATTTAATTTGTATAGTGCAATTCTTGGTGAATTTAATTCCTCAGTTTAATATTACATTCTCTCATACATATTTTACAATTAACTCCATAAAAAGATCTTCTCAGAATTGAGTCAACTTGTAAGAACCTCAATGTATGGATTTTCAAAATGTAGTGTAGTTGTCACAGTGAGTAGTGTAGCAAACAGAGGCCACAGATATAAAATAAGGAATATACTGTAATTGTATATATAATTCTTTGGGGAAGTTGGTGGTGGGGGGGGGGGTGAATTGACAGTGTAGAGATGTGCCCCAACCTATAAATGAGTTTAGAAAATATGTGACCGGCTCTAGCAAAAACCTGAATTATTATTTTTTTGTGGAGGGGGGGGGGAGGACACAAATGTATTACAGAAAATAGTATGTTTTGTACTCTAGTGAAAATGATAAATAATAATGGATTACCCCTTAATTAAACCGATAAAAAAAAAAATTAAAAAATGAGTTTAGAAAATATGTGACCGGCTCTGGCAAAAACCCGCCGTTTGTCGCAATTTCTAATTTCCCACAAGCACGCAAAGCAATCGAGAATCAGAATTTTGAACATTTTAAGGTTTTTGGAATTTATAAAGATATATTGAAGAACATTTCCGCAAAATATCAGTCAATAAATCTAACTGAAAAGTTAGTAAAATTATTATTATGAATGATATCCAATTAATTAAATATTCATAACTTCACTAATACTAAACCAATTTCCATCAAACAAACAGTTTTAAAGAAGAATTCATGCAGAGTCTAAAAACACCAGCTGCACCACCCCCCACCCTTTTCGGACATCTCTGAATAAGTCCCTGAGTAGTACTTGAAACTGTTTTTCGCACTTTACCAGGATTGTCTGCAGTTAACTGTGATCTGACATCTGCCATATAAAGACTAAAACTGTTTCCGGGTCGTTTTATTTTCAGTGGTATAAATTTTGTCATGTGGGATGCATTTGACTTGCTGAGGTAAAAATGTGTCTTCTGGCTGAAGTTTTCATTCTTCTGTAATGTATACCTGGGAAAGTAAAAGGTGGGAAAATAAGGTGTAACTAGAATTACTCTTTCTGCCCTTCCCACTGTAAATTAACCAGGCTAGGCCTAGCTTTCCTGTCTCTTGCTCTGCCTAGCTAAACAATAGCGACAACATTTATTAACCATCCATCATTTTTCAATTAATTGAGTTGCTTATAGTTTATTAGTACAGTTTGGTAAATAATCAATACTGTAAAACCTTGAATTGAAGCCCAATGGGCTTAATCTCGAGAAGCCCATCTCAAATTAAAGCCTCCCTCTTTAGTTTGCAAAATTAGCCTCGAAAAGAAGCTCATCTCGAAAAGAAGCCCAAAATAGCATCTTTTATCCGAAATACAGTACAGTACATACACTTTACATATGAATTTAAAAAAAAAAAAACAAATTAAAAATAAGCTTGGTTTATACAGTAATTTTGGTGATTTAATGCCAGTTAATGCACTCCTTGATACAGATTGATGTTACAGTGGTCTTAATTATTGTTTTATAGTACAAATTTCCAAAATTTACAGCAAAAAAAAAACAGAAAAGAAGTCCCCTTCTTTACTTTGCAAAAGTATCCTCGAAAAGAAGCCCACCCACCCAAAGTTCGCAAAAAAAAAAAGAAGCCCAGGGCTTCAATTTGAGGATTTAAGGGAGTTTTCTATAATAATAATAATAATAATAATAGTGTAGTTTTATATAGCGCACATATCCATCTAATGTAAGATGCTCAGGGCGCTTGATATGTGGACTAGGAACTCAATCAATGACTTTCTTCGCCCCTAAGGGTCCCTTCGTGCCTGTGCTACCCGATAACCCGGTACCAGCAACTCTCGTCATCCACTACAGGGCTGTCTGTTCCAGTACACCGGGGTATCCCCCTACTTGTCTCGAAGGATGTACTGGGTTCTTTATAGCGCACACCAGCCATTGTATACACTGGGCCTACGGTTCCTTATCTTGTTCTACCACCAGAACCAAAGGCGAGCGTGCCGTTCGAACCAGCGCCGATATTATGGCTATAGCTTGCGCCACCCCTGCTAACCGCTAGACGTTAAGTCACCAGCAAGTACTAGGTGCCCAAAGGAGTAGCCTACGCAGGGCCTACGAAAACATTAGTTAGCCCTAGGTCTAGGCTCTATGCCTATTGGGCAGTTATTGCACAGCCTGGCTGGGCAAGCTTACTAGTGACGGGTAAATTGGGCTAGGACTAGGCCTGTGTATGTGCCGAGCCTAGCTTATTAAAATGTATCTAGATGCTTTAAAATACAATAACAATAGTTCAGAAGCAGAGAAATATAAATAAAATAGTAAATAACCTGGAGGATATGCTACGATGTGCCAACAGTGCGCTTGAGTGTTGTCTGAAAACACAGCAGATCAGTGACTGAACTTTCGCGACTATAGGCGCAGCCATTTTGTGATTGCCAGGCTATGTTGCAAAATTTACCTAAATTTGATACTTTTACGGTATTTATGACTAAAAAGTATATGATTTGTATTTTCAATTGCAAATTGTATGTCCTGAAATGAGTATTAATATGTATACACACCAATATGATTATACAATTCATTGTAAATAATAAATACTATAGGCCTATAACTCTTATGTCAGAATTAGTTTTAACGTTGTTATCCCTTGGTTGTCTCTCAGTACGCAAGACAATATTCTAATCAACTACGGATGATGTTCCTTTTTTTAACCTAGATCCTTTGTAGGACCAATAATTATAGTTTATTAGTATAATTATCAGCAATTTAACATTAAAACTGCTTATTAAGGTTTTGCCTACTTAAGGCGACGTAGGATCGTCTTTGAAATCTCCTTGGATTGTATAAATCCATCAAAAAGTAGTTTTACTTCACTTCCATTAATCCTATCCTACGGAATGACTCTTAGTGGAAGTCCTTAGATCCTTCCGTAGCCTGCTTTATCAGATATCTTCAGTAGTTTTCAAATATCGAAAAAAAAAAATTAAACTGTTGTTTTTTGTTGAGAATATCTCGACGTTTGGTTTGAGTTGCTTCAATCGTCTTCAGGAAATATCGATTGAAGCACAATCGAAACGTCGAGATATTCTCAGCCAATACAACAGTTTGTTTTCTATCTACATGGTGTACCGCAAGCATTAATATAATATTACTTCGCCATGCAAACCTTCAAACAATAATTATGATGATAATAAAAAGGGATGATAATAGGCCTAATAAGATTTTTTTGTAATAATAATAATAATAATATAATAATAATAATAGGCCCTAATAATAATAATAATAACTTTATTTAATAAAGCGCAAACAATATCCATTTAAAATGTTTACAGGCGCTGTACAGAATTAAAAAATATAAATATTCTAGCAAAATGTTACGGTATTGATATTTTGCTAAAAAAAAGCTAAAAATTATCTTAACTGACCAAAAACATTAACATTGAATAAAGTAGTCATAAAACCATTGTAGATTGTCATAAAATTGTACTTTTTTGGTAAAAAAAAAATCCTTTTGTCTATTTTTGGACCTATTATCCACATAGGTAATTGACTGAGACCTAATTATCGTTCATTCTGCCAATAAGAGAAGAGAACATTGTTTTTATGACATGTACAAATTCTTTATAAGCAATCGATCTCGAACTAAGTTACACAAAAAATTACAAACTGGTAAACTAGTCTACTCTTCGAAGACAACAAGTATCACCTCTATAAAAGATGTCGAAGACTTTGGTATTTATTCTCGTCGGAATGATCGCTCTTAGCATCATCCAAATGGTAAGTTCTGTACTTTACGGTCATATTTACTCATTGCAATACCTAGCCCTTCGAAAATTAATTTTTAACTAGAAAACATGTAGATATTCTTGTGTATTTCGTCTTTCTCTCTAAAATTTTATAATTTAGTAAAACTAATTTTAACTCTTTTTAGAACACGTAACTATTCGTCTTTAAATGAGGCAACCAATAGTGTGCCTTATTTAGGATGTATCTCCACTTGGGTGAGAGTGTACTACTGATCCAAATGTGTAATTCCGAATAAATAATAATAAATAAAACACCAACCATTGGTCATGGCCTCCAGGACGTCACCATTTATACATAAGTTATGTTTGATAGAAACACTACCGTAACAAAATTCAATGCCACGGTGATTGTTCAACTGCTGTATGGTACGTGTCTAAGTTACATTGTCTTTATATTTTATCATGGGACTTATTCTTACCGCTTATTAAAATGCTCTGATGATAGGCCTACAAGGAACTGTTTTTTGTGTGTGTGGCGCAATTTGCAGTTCTTCATATTTCTTTTTCTTTGGCCAATATCAAGTTTGTTACAAATTATTTCATTCACGCTCAACAGTGACGTCATTTTCATGGGATGTGGTGCTCTATAATTTAAACACACTGTTTTCTTATTTTTCCCTCAGTCAAGCTGCGAAAAAGAAGTTAGATGTAAGACTTTGTTATTTTCTAGTGTAGACATATTTATATTTTTAAAAATTCATTTTAATTTAATTATGCATGTTTCATAATTATTATGTAATCTGTAATAGGAGTGACAACGAATCTTCCCATTTCTATATTCTCAATCTGAATTTTGGACTACTACTACTACACTACTGCTACTACTACTACCACTACTACGGTACTACTACTACTACTACTACTACTACTACTACTACTGCTACTACTACTACTGCTACTGCTACTGCTACTAATACTACCGTATATTGCTACTGCTGCTGCGGCTTCTGCTGCTACTACTACCGTACTACACTAGGCCTACTACTACTACTACTACATACTACAACTACTACTAATGTTTCTTAAGTTGATAACTGGGGTTTTTTTCTGTTTTCATAAACATTATTGTAGTTAAGTGTGAAGACACAGAAGGGGTGGATTGTAGTGACATAGCTGGCCACTGCGACGAAGAAAAGTATGCTTACAAACTTTGGGATTGCTTCAAAACATGCAAATTTTGTCAAGGTGAGTCAATTAGTCTCAGATATGTAAGCGCCATTCCATAACAATTGACGTTATTATAACGTTATGCTGCTGTTACAGTTTGATGTTTAAAGCATTTATTACTTGCACAAAATACCTTGCTGACGCTGCTGCCACTTCGTGCAAACATCATTTTCTGACTTTAAGGCCTGTTTACGCTGGCGATAACGACCAACGATAAAAAGCAATTGTTCATATAGAACATAAAAGAAATAAGAGTTTTCACACTATCATCTTAAAAAAAATGTTTTCACAAATTAAATCAAATGACGTCAATCGTGAAAAATGATGAAATCGTAGTAGTAAAAACGATAAAATCGTTTTCCCATGATTATGACATAATTTGATTTGGTTTGTTTCGATCGTATAGGCCTACATGATAAATCGAATCGTGCTAGTGTGAAAACTCCTCTTATTTCTATAATTTTATACATGAACAATTCCTTTTTTTTTTTTAGCATTCATTGTGTAACAGGCCTATAATCTAAATACAGCGTTATAATTGACGTTTTGTGTTTGTTGGGATTTTGCAATAAGCCTAAAATCCTATTCGGGAAGATTGAGAATATATTACATTGTTATTATTTTTATGAATATCACCATCATAAAAAAAATGTTTAACAAGATAGGATGCACAGTAAGGTTTTGGTTTTCAATCGAGTGATCGGGGAATTGAGTCTCGGGCTAGTTACCTGTTGTGTCCCTGGGCAAAGGCACTTTTTGTATTGCTTCTCTATCCCATGAGTTAAAGTGGATACTTGGTGGGGTCACATGCTACTACCCTGATTTTTAGTTGGATTTATGTAGCGCTTTACAACGAAACGGTCTCAATGCGCTGTGGACTAGAACAGTGACTTGCTTCTCCACTAAGGGTATTGGTGTCGAGCTACAGCTACTCTCGTCTGTCCACTACAGGGGCTGAATGGACCATTACACAGGTGCCATTACAATGTAACCCCCTACTGGTCTCAAAAGATGTACTGGACTCTTTTTTAAAGTGCGCATGAGCCAAATTATTTACACTAGGTCTACGGTTTATAGTCCTTATCCGAGAAGACTTGTTGCACCACCAGATCCATAGGCGAACGTGCCGTTCGAACCAGCGCCTAAATAGCTGTATGTTGCGGTGGCCTTGCCTTAACCACCGCTCGGCCATCCAACTCGCTAGCGGCAGCAGTACCTAGATGCATGTTGACCAAATAACTCGGAATAATAACGTACTGAGGACTGATTAATAATGTAGTTCCACAATATAGATGGTGCTAACGATATCATTTTTATCTTCAAATAAAATATACCGGTAACATTTGTAATATTATATTTCCCCTTGTCTTGCAGGTTGAAGACCCATTTTTCTTTGTTCAAGATTGTGACATCTTCACTGGATCAGATTAGTTTACACTTTAATAAACACAGCCCGCTTTGAAATGTTAATGTTCATTTATTCGCTGATACTGTACTGACTACGTTATATGAGAGTTTCTTCTGTTTATAAGAGATATCATCAACTATATGTACGTCTGTAAGATGTAAAGATTAACTTTGTGATGAATATGTAGTATTACATTTTTTATTAGCAAAGCTCAGGAAATTTTAACCAGTGAATTTTAAACATCTTTAATCATCACGTGCTTCCATTTACCAATAAAAGGCTTCCATTTCGTTTGCAACACTATATTTTAAACATACCTCTTAGATCTTATTCTCTTTGTTCAGTATAGATATATCCAATGGATACCTTTTGTGTTAATTGCTTTGATCGCTCCGTGTCTGTAAACCGTAATAAAGTCACAATATAGAAGTAAAACGTTTGCCGACATTTCTTTGTTCCCAATGTGTTATGTTTGCCAAAGAGAGATTTAAGAGGAACTTCTCAAAATCGTCTTAAATTCATCGTCTACATCTAATTTGATATGTTAAAATGTTCATTACATTCAATCTCACCATGATCTCATTAAATCAATTTACTAACAACTCTACATTTTGAATGATCGTATGTTGCTACCAAGACGAAAAAGTTTGCAGGTGGCGTGCTTTACTTAACCAAAGTGAACGCATTCTAAACGACAATTATATAATAACAACAATAATGATGATGAGAATTATAATGATTATGGTAGTGATGATGATCATAATGATGATGGTGGTGATGGTGAAGAAGATGGTAACGATGATGACGATGACGAATGATGAAAATGACGACAATGAATCAAGTGGCAAATTGGAAACGCAAAAACTGTATTACCCTTTTCAATAATCTCATGCCACAACAAGCTCAATATCTGGATGTTGCAGTTCAGTTCCCTATCACGTGATAGGATCTCATGTTAGCGATCATTGCGAAGACTTTAAATGTAGATGAACGTTCAGCATCGTCATTGGTAGTTTCACTCCAGTTGCAGCTTGAGCATACTCTTCTGGACATCTGTAAAGTAAGTTTCAGTCGAGATATAAGACCATGGAGCAATTAGTTTAGACTAAACTAATTCCTCCATTATAAGACCATAAACTCTTTTTTCTCTCTCTTTCGTGGAAATTTCACACACCTTTATTTCTATCTCTTTTTGTTACATTTTGATTATTTTTCCTGTCATCAATGACATAAAATATAAAATTTAAAACTAAATTGCACTTGAAAAAGGTCAGTCCACAATAGCTGACTGTAATTTTTTGAACTCATCTTTTAAACTTTTATTAGTTTCTAAGAAATACATTAGGCCTAATATATTCTTTTTCTTTAAGGTCCAAAATGTAATTTATCGAATATGTTAATATAGGGCCTACATCAAAAGAAATGTTTTCATTCCAAAATTGTACTTACACATGCACATGTATATACTGTATATATACACGTACATACATACACACCAATACCATATAGGCACATATACATATACATATACATTTTTTTTTATTTCAACAATTCCTAATTGTTTTTCTCTTATGTACAAAACAGAAAGGTAACGTATCCTGCTGATGTAATATTATTGATAATGCTAATAATTTTCCATCTTTGATCAATAATTAATATAATAATCTTTATAATAATAAAAACAAAAGTCAATAACTTTCTTATATATATATATAACACATACACACACAAACACATATATACGCACGCACACACACCCACACACACACAACCCACACCCACATTACATTCATTCACACATACATACATGCAAGACCATAAACTTTAATAAGAAAAGTGAATATCCTTGATATTACGTAGGTGGTATATAAAAACTGAACTGTTTCCTCTGTTAGAGAAACCAATCTCAACAATGCGATTCTTTGAGGATTGAAAAACATTAGTACCGTTGCCAATTATCCTACAACATAAGCCAATATTTGGTGGCGATATTTAGGCCTAATGTGTTTAGAATGAATACAAGCCTTCTTCAGTCTACTGATGGATGGGATGCAGAACCTACGTTGCGACAACCAGGCCTGTACATCATGAAACAACTGCTTCAGACCAATACAATACAACGATTTGATATAAGAAAAGTTAACATATACTATGCTGATTGTCGTCGGCATGACATACCGGTAATAGAACACCTTTGACTGAGTTTGATGAGAAGTTGCTGAATTTCACTCAAAGGAAAAAACATGCACAATTAACAATTAATCAATCAGTCAGTCTGCAGTCAATGAATCAATGAATCAATGAATCAATGAATCAATGAATCAATGAATGAGTGAATGAATGAATCAATCAATGAATCAATTCATTCAAACTTTACTTATTCTCGAAATTGCAAAATTTACAGCATGATATAAATATTCAACATATAACATTTACAAAGGATTTGTTCGATTATGAAAATTTAAAATTACAAAGAGATCGTTTTCCAACAAGTTCGAGAAGAACGTGTAAAATTTAAACATTATAAAATATAGCTAAGGAGACCTAAATGCGAATTACTTAAAATGAATTCCAAGGATTAGTTAAAATGTATAAATAAGGAATAAACACTGTTACAGTTGGTAAAAAAGCGTAAAAAAGAAATATCGTAAAAATAAAAATATAAAAATGGAATTCTAAGAGTTGTAACTAAATATGTGTGTGGTATTGGACGTACAAATTCCATTTGTCATGACGAAAGTTAGAGTGAAATGTGTTGTATAATATTTCTTAAATAATGTGACGCATTTAAATATCAGGAGTAGACATTTTAATTCATTTCTCTTGGTTAAATCAAATCAGCTAAATGTAGTGCCATAAAATCCTCTTTTGGCTTTGACGCAAGTGCAAGTAATATGACATATATAGCAAGATATAGCAATATAATAGCAAGTTTAACACGAATATCAGTCCTTCTAAATGTAAAACATTAAAAACCGCTGGTTCTGTATAAATTATAGCTGGATTGTTTTTTTTTTAATTATTATTTTATTAGAACCACCACAGCGATAATAATAATAATAATAAATATTACCTCTGTGACGTTTCTGGTCCAATCAGGTAGCTTTCTTCAGACTGATGACATGTTGGGATTGGTCCCGGCGTTGATGTTTAGTTACGCCCTCTAACGTCCGGTGTTGGACGGTAGCACATCCCCCGCGGCCCCTGTCTTTCGCTTTGCTGGCACAATATTTATTTATTAATTAAACACGTTCTATAAAAAAAATAAAAGTCGTTCATTAAAAAGGACTATAATGATGATATAGTCAAACTGTCTCCATTCTGCTAAAAAGCTTTAATCTATCCTGTCATCAAAAACATATCAACAATGGATAAAGTAGTCATTAAAATCTTAAATTACTCACATATTTTTACACTAAGAAAAAAAAAAACATGTTCATTCTATTTCGGGACCATATTCAAATACCTTAATGTGGCCTATTTAGCGTTGATTGAGCCAATGAGAGGCGAGAAAATTGTTTCATGACTTGTACAGAATCTTTATAAGTAACAAACCACGGACTTAGTAACAGCTCACGAACTGGTAAACTCGCCTACTCATCAAGAACAACTTCATAACATCTACAAACTATACAAGATGTCGAAGACTTTGGTATTTATTCTCGTCGGAATGATCGCTCTCAGCGTCATCCAGATGGTGAGTGTTGTACTCTATACTGTAAAAATATTTACATTAGGCCTATGTATCTTTGGGATCTATAGGCCGATATTGAAAATATCGATTTAGGTGATAAACTTGACCATTAATTGACTAGGGTAGTCAAGTCTCTATGAATCTACCATCACGGTGTCGACCCAAATGCCACTGACAACCAATTGTGTCTAGTCTCATGAGAAAGACAGACTTTTAAAGATGACACATTTCATTCGACCTCAAGTACTTTTACAATTGACGGGTTTGTCGGATATATTGATCGTTAAGGGCCAATAAGGCAAGATTAAGTCATAATTTTTACCAAAGAGTAAGGTGTGCGTGTATGTCTATCAAATTTATTAAACAGTTCTAATTTGGTTTACAAGCACTCTTATATACTCACTTTGATAGTCTTACATTTGTTCTTTACGTATACATATACACTTTCGTTGGATGTTACGTTGTAGACATTGTCAACAGGCCCTAAATTGTTATGTTATTGACAATAAATGTTGATTTTTGTAAATCAATACCGTAATGATTTATACTACAAGAAATACTACTATAGAATGATAGGTATATTTTATAGGCCTATATAGTGCTTTCTACAATATTCTAAGGCTTCTATTTTGGCAGCTAAAAGGACAGTTATTTTTTCATTTTTTTTTTTCAGTTTTCTTAACAGCATCTGTGGTTAAAAAAAATTAAAACTAAGGCGGATGCAGGATTTGGCGGTTGGGGGTGCGTAAGAGTCTTTACCTCAGCCCCACCACTGGGGCTGAGGTTTGAAAATACCGAGAACATGGACCTCTAGGTGCCCGGAAATTGCACTCTCATTGCTTAAAATCTTACCGGCACTGTTTCACATTAACAATACAAAACAACGATTATTTTTCTTAAGACAACTTAGGTGGGTACGATCGCAGCGTCTGCACCCCACCCCGTGCATCAATTAAGTAAGAATATGTTATAACGTAATTTCATTTTCTTCATTTTAGCAATTGCAACTATTAAGTTATTTTCGTCTGCTTATGCCAGTTTACGACTCAGTATTTTGTGTCAATGCTCCTGTGTCTGCGTTGTAGCCATTGTAACATAAGGATGAAGTATAGCCTTATGGCCTTAACTGAGATATAATTTCAAGCTAAATAAGAAATAATACATATGATTTTATATCACACAACTTGATACAACATCTGGTAATTATAAACTATTATAACACTTATCTTTAATTACTCTATATTCTTATTCTATCTTCAGTCCAGCTGCGCCGAAACTAATGAAATTGCAGGTAAGATAATTGCTATTTCAATAATATATAGGCATATTTTCATTATGTAATTTAATGTTTATAGACATGCCCCTGATTATTTTAATTACAGCTGTTCACAATATAATCTTAAATTTTGATTGATTAGGTTTCGATATTAGTCTACCAATTTATACAGATACTGTTATCACATTTTTTGTTGGACCGCAGCACATTACAGACCTAAAATATGTTAGGTTTAAATAACATCCTCTGTTTTCATTGACGTTAATGCAGAAGTGTGTGCAGACACAGAAGGGGTAGATTGTAGTGACGTAGCTGGAAATTGCGACAACGAAAAGTATGCTGACAAAATTTGGGACTGCTTCAAGACATGCGGATATTGCTGTAAGTGAAATAGAATCAGAAGCATTGTATCAATAATTACGATGAAATATCAAAGGTATTTTTCCATAGCTTGACATCATATCCATTGGAGAAGTATATTATACTGTCAATAAATATATTATCCACATTAAATTGGTAATTAAATAACGTTATAACCCTTTTAAAATTAACATTTTAACAAGTAATGACGTCATGGTCTGTAAATCGGGAGACAATTCCCTACTCAGTTTTCCAAATTAAAATTAAACAGTGTTCATTGCACTCTATGCAAAGAACCAACACCTTAATGTCCCACCATAACTCCAACAAGTCATCACATGTACTTGGTTGTGTCGTAAGCCTGGTTTCCATACAATCGCTACATGCTATCACCGACAGTTGTCGGAGACACTAATTGATTGGTTGGGATAGCTACGCAGTGTAACGATTGCACTGAAAACGTTGTAACAATTTTATGGATACCAAACTTTTATTGACAATGTGACCCTATATACTCAACTCAGACTCAAACTCCGATTCAAATGTAAATTACTTCCGCTCTTCATGTTCACGTGTGCTAGGTTATATTGGCTTTATTATCTTCGACTGATATGTACTGAATTAACAGATATGCATTAGCAATGTATTTTCTATTGTCTTGCAGCTTGAAGACGATTATTTCTTTGTTCAAGATAGTGGCATCTTCACACGACCAAACTAATTTTTAAAGAAACACCATCAACTGTTTAGTTTTTAAAGAAATCACAATGGCTGTACTGTGCGTTGCCGTGTATCAGTTTATTTAGGTTATATAATTCAAACGCCAAGACTTTGTGAGCTGTGAACTTTAATGTTGTGATGAATCCGACGGCTTACCAACTTTCCCTATTAAAATCGAGTTATAATGTAACCAGTAGGCTGATGTGCTTCTTTGATAATCACGAGCTATCCTTTACCATTTATATTATGCTTCCTTACGCTAGTAACACTATTTTAAACTTATCAATTACATCTGATCTGTTCTCTAAAGTGTATCGTATAGATTTTTTCAACCAATAAATTTTAGTTATTAAATTTTTTGTTAGCACTCTCACAGTTCAAAAATTGTAATAAAGGTCACACTATAGAACAAGTAAAGCGATTATTATTTTATTAAACGTGTTATTTTGCCAACGTTGAGATTCAAAATAAACTTCTTAAAAGTATTCTTTAATTTACTGTATTATCTAATTCATTGTTCAATCTAAAACAATCTCAAAGCAATAAACTAAAAAATATTTAATTTTCGGACGTTGTCATGAAGTGGAATGTTTCGAATTCTAGGTGGCGGGCTTTTCTTGGTAAGAGGTAAGTCCCCCAACATTACGAAAATAATAACGATAATTTTCTAACTCGATGTTTTATGCCACGACCTTTGAAATATTCTCGCTAATTCTCATTCGGCTGTCGGTTTATCAGTGTTTAAATTTTGACTAGCATGTATATGGAAGTACAACCGAGTTTATTTTAAATATTAGGCCTAATATAATAATTACTGTCTCTTATACACATCTAGATGTGTATAAGAGACAGATATAATATTGTATCAATGACGACAGTGATACTTCAACATCAATGATTAATGTAGCTCTTTTGCAAAAAAAATAAATCATTTCCATGAAATCCGATGTTAAACACTCAGGGCCTGGACATGATTAACTAAAATAATAAAAATAATAATATAATACAGTAATGTCATAATAGGTTATCAACAATTACAAACACAGTATTTGATAGTCTTATACTACTTACACAATAATACTGCGGCTCAAAAAATTGTAATCGGTCAATATTCCAATAAACGCCTGGGGTATTAGGGCATTGTTGATTTAGCCAATGAGAGAGGCAAGATTATTATTTTAATGACCAGTAAATATCCTTTATAAGTAATGGACCACGGACTGAGTGACACTACTCACAAACTGACAAAATTTGTCTACAGTTTACCAAAAATCTCCTATTGTCTCCAAATTATACAAGATGTCGAAGACTTTGGTATTTATCCTCGTCGGAATGATCGCTCTTAGCGTTATCCAGATGGTGAGTGTTGTACTTTAGGTGATATTTACTCAGTGCAATTCCTAAAAATTTGAAAAATAATTGATCTAATTCTGTAGAAACTATATTTTCTATAGATTGTTGTAAAGCACTATTGTTTAGCTTTAGACAGCTTGTAAATTAAAATAGAAATCCATATACTTTATAATAATCACTGACTAGACTTTTAAATATTGATACATCATTTATAATTGTAATTTACTGTATCATCAGATACAATATGCACGTTTACTGTATTCAAAAACACTCAGATACTAATTAGAATTATTTCCTCAAATATTCCACATTGGCAAACAGGGTATAATATATATAAAGTTATGGAGTATTGTGCAGGAGAACGCATATTAATTAATTTTTTAAATGTTTATTTTTGATGTCCCAACTTGTGAGGTTCCAAACATGATCAGCTCTGTCATTTATTATTTTAGTTTATTTTGTTTATTTCTTTATTTTTTTTTTCTCCTCAGTCAAACTGCGATAATGGAGTTGAAGGTAAGAATATATATATATTGTTAAAATAATTTGTATATGTAAGGTATGTGTCTAATTATTGTAATTGAACGTATTAAGTTGTACGTCTTAAGCAGCATGACTTGGGATATTAAAAAAAAACACCAATATTGACTTATATTATCATTTAACTGATTAATGATTGAAAATAAGGCTGATAAACCGCAAATAGAATAATTCAAATAAGCGTCGCGGTGCTTAAAACATTTTTAGGCTCAGTGCGACATACATTCGAGAGCGGAGCTTGTACATTATTATAGTGCTAAAATGGTCACAGACCCCTATAATAACTTTTAAGATACATACAATTTTAGATGATAAGCATGTGATATTTTCATATTGCCTTTAATTTATCTTTCTATTTTTGCTTTCGATGTGAAGTGTGTAAAGATACAGAGGGCGTAGATTGTGCTGCCATAGCTGGCGAGTGTGACAATGAGAAAAACTCTGAAAAAGTATACGACTGCTTCAAGACATGCGGATATTGCTGTGAGTGAATATATGATATATATATATATATATATATATAGATATATATATATATCTA